TGGTGGGTTCAAACCAGGCCCTGACCAAACTCCAACAAAAAAACAGCCGGGCATTGTGACAGGTATCTGTAGTCCCAGCTACTTGGGAGGCTGAGGCAAGAGAGAATCACCTAAGCCCATGAGCTGGAGGTTGCTGTGAGCTATGACACCATGGCACTCTACCGAGGACAAAAATAAAAGCAGAGATACCTGGATTGTTTTTGCTTTGTTTTTGAGACAGTCTCAGTTTGTCCTCCTCCACAGAGTGCCATGGTGTCATTGCTCATAGCAACCTCAAACTCCTGGGCTCAAGCAATTCTCTTGCCTCAGGCACCCAAGTAGCTGGGAATACAGGCGCCCACCACAATGCCTGGCTATTTATAGAGACCAGGTCTCGCTCTAGCTCAGGCTGGTCTAGAACCTGTGAGCTCAGGATATCCACCCGCCTTGGCCTCCCAGAGTGCTAGGATTACAGGCACAAGCCACCACACCGGCCTTGGTTTTTCTTTTTTTAAGAGGCCTAAAAATTCCCTTTCTCAATCTTGCCAAAAAGAGCAATAACTGCCTGTTTTAACTGTAAATCTGGATTTTCATACCCAACGTTGGCTTAAAACAAGGGACTCCAAACGAGTGCCTTACAGTCTACCTCAGCTATTCCCGTCTGTAAAGGGGATAGGAATACCAAATTCTTAGAAAGATCTACAGGCACACCCACCCCCTGCAAAGCAAATGGACAGTTTTGACTCCACTTTTGGACCATAGACATTCGGTAAGAGTGGCAGGGATACGTGTAGCTTATGCCTCCGCGAGACCAACTACCAGAAAGCTTACCCAAAATCCGAATGTGAGACGGAAGATGGCTGTTGATCTTTTCTAAAATGTCATCAATCAGCCACACTTTCAGGGACACTACCTGACCAGCTGCAGACACACCCTGTAAAGAAAGCAAAATAGGTGAAGGGAAATTAGGTCCAGCTGGGCCTTCTTGAGCACAAGGCTTTGCATATTGGCCCTCTGAACAGAAAGACTATGCCAACATCACACCTTTTCATACACAATTCTGCTTTTATGGTTTTTTTTTTTTTTTTTTTTTT